CCTAACATTGTGTGATTCTGTGATTCTGTGATATCCATACATGGGAATGCAGTGCTTTCAGAATGAAAGAGCATGCCTTGATTACACTCATTTCAGTTTCAATTAGATCTAATTCTGCAAGCAAAATTTCATGTTCTTAAAACTGATCATTAAGCAGTCATCTGGCATTTAACACGTTGTGTAAAGCTTAATTATTGTTTTAAAATTTATTCCATAGATTTTGTTAATATTAGTTACTGAAGGGTAATACAGCTTTGTTTTACCATCTTTAACCTGGCTCTAACTCAACCATAACGCAGTAATGCCTCTTGCTCCAACTCTAATTCAATGAAAGACAATGGGTTCTTCCTAGATTAACAGTATGCTTTGAAATTCTTCAAAGCATCTGCTAGGTAGAACTGTGGACTTTAAAAATAATTTGTACTGGAATTGCAAACAATAAAATAACATTTTCTTAATTGACTGCAGTTACTGTGGGAAGAAGAAAGAAACAGTCTGAAGGAGTTGGAAACATCCTTCTACTCAGAGCATCACAAGAATACACTATGACTTGATATATCCAAGTTATAACATTCAGCTCCAAAAGTGTTCTTGGGAAGAAACTTAGGACTGACTCTTGAAGATGAGGTAAATCCTCCCAAGAAGCTATAGCAAGAATATTATTGTAATGGAAGAAATATGATCTGAACCTAATGTCCAAAGGCTAAAGATGAGAGAGAAGAAAATTGCCTTCAGACTGGATTGTGATAAATTCCAGTGAGATCTTCTGAAGATGCTGTATATGGGAAACATACCTGTATACGGGAACTATATCTCTCACAGCAGATGTACGGGAGCTGGACCTGTCAGAGGGAGTGCATTGTTGTAAAACACATAAATAGCAAGTCAACTACATACTTGAAACCTTCAGAACCATGGGGAAGAAGAAAACATCCTAATGGAAGTATCTTGGATGGCTCAGGGAAAATAATAACTAACCAGGAAAATTAAATAAACTTAGTATTTTCCACAGTTGCAAGATTTTGATGCAGTCTTCTGCAGAAAACTTTCCAGTTGTGAATGCCTATTCGCATTAAAGTTCCACAAATGAGAATTTCTGAGGCACAGAAAATCTCAAGATGTAAAAGACCTCGGAGGACACAAAAGGCTCAGGAGGCAAATGGAAATAACTGGCTTCTTCTAGCCGCAAACCTTCTGAGCCAAACTTCTATCTTGCCTTCAGAACCCAAAGGGCTAAAGAGGCCAGTGCCTTTTTCTAGGGCTCTTACTATCAGAAGAAAACTGAAAGAACCTCTTGAAGCCATTTAGGCAATGAAGCAATCACTGCTGCTTTTAATATATTCTTGCCCTAGGCAACCATCTCTTTCACCTAGCGTACAGATTGCAGAATTGGCCCTGGCAGCAAAATGCAGTGGGTCAGGCAGTCTCAGTGTCACAAAAACAATGAGAGAAGATAGCACAGCTGCAGAAACCTGCCTGGGGTTTTAAAGGCATGTTTGCAGAACTGACAGTTAGGGGCAGAGAGTTTTTCCACACAAAGCCATTAGAAAATGGGCCATTCCCGAGTCCTCAAACAGCTTTTGCTGTATCAAGATTAAGGGAAGATGAGGTAGCTGGGGCTAATACATTGAAAATCAACGCCATTAACAGAGTGAGCAAAAAAGAATAAAAAATTCAAGCCCTGTAGAAGCTGAAACTTTCTGCCGTGCTTCTTGCTGTGTAGAAACAGATTGTACAGTTACCCTGCTCCTGCTTGGATTTGACCTCCGATTCAGAGAGATTAAAAATGTTGATGATGTCTGAATTTCCTGTTTATTAAAAATGCATATAGTTTACATATATGCAGCTGTAGATATGCATATGTATACATTTGTGTGTTGCTGTTGACTACGTTGGACTTTGTATGATATTTTCAGGATTTCAGAGGAGTAGCACTATGATTAGTGAGGTTTAATTCCACATTCTAGGACCTGCCACAGGTTATGGTATGGCAGCACAGATCAACTTCATGGTATCTTCACACCTTCTCAGTGTTTCAGAGCTAATAATGACATACAGACTGGTAAACTTAACTACAGTTAGGAACATTCCTATACATTTGAATGAGATCAGCTTTTCTGTAAAACTTTCAAATAGCCCCTGGCATGCTTTCAGCCTGTGTCAGCTAGCTCTGTCCCATAAAACTCATAATCATCATTTCTGTTTGGACATAGTCTGTTCATATTGCAGCTACTCCGTTTTGGAGACCAAGAGATCTTACTAGCATATACACATGCCACTCTGAGCCAGTTGGCCTCAGTGCCAAGAAACGTTTCCAGACACGCTCACTTTACTAGTAAAGATGCAGCCAATCAGTTGAAATAGAGATCTCACAGCATTATCAGTGGCCTACTGTTGATCTGCTTCAGGCACTCATGATCACGGTCTGAAATTCAGAAAAAGCAACTCAAATGTCAGCAACTGAACATACTCAATTGAATATGGGGACCTGTATAGGTAAAGATCCACAAATGTGAACCCAAGGCAACATTTCCATTTCTCCTAAGCTGCTGGCTTCATGAACCTGAATTCACACTACCTCAGAAACTTCAAAAGGAATAAATAAAAGATTAAAAAACATTGTCATTAGCAATGAAATGGCAACTCATAAAAATTATTTTACACTTAGCAACTTGTTTGGATTATTCTCTTTTACACAGTAACTAGTTTGTGTGCACCAATACATTCTGCCTTTATAAGTGTCCTAATGCGTAAAAAGGAACTATCATATTTCTCTGAGCAATATTCATTTACATACCCATATTTTAATCTCTTTCACAATATTAATTTAGACTGTCATATTTTAATCTCTCTTGTTACTCTCTGGCTGCTTTCTAATTACAAAACTGTCCACCTCTTTCCAAAATTAACAATGAATTATTATTAGGCATTTTGATCTTGGTTCAGTAGAAATAAATTTTCTTCTTTAATGTATTTCTTTTCTTTCTAAGAGCAATGATGATTCATACAGCATAGGCATTTGTATGTAGAGCTTTTCAATGGCTCTAATGAGAAAGATTTTTCTTTTCACTTTCTACTAACAAGGAAAAATTACCTGGACTGTGTTGCTTTATAAACATTTCCCATTGAAGCTGCATTGAGAAAGAGCAAGCATTATACATACAAAAGCATTATGAAACTGTAATATTGTGCATTCTGGAAACTCATAAAGAAAATCAGAAACTAAAATACTTTATAAATAAAGTCTTGAGATTAATTTTGGAGAGAATGATGGAGGGTAAGAAAGAATGGTACTCGGAGAAAAATCAAGCAAAGAACTGGAGGATATCTGTGTCAGTCCAAGTGTAGAAAATGCCTTGAATTCCCAATTAGCTTAGTAAACAGAGCATGTCGCTAGGACAGCAGATTGACTGAATGTCAGCTGGAAAATTATTTCCACAGTGAGTGATTTTGAGACCAACAAGTAAGGACAGAGAAGTCTGCAGGAAAACACTTCTAACCAAAACAGGTGAGGAAAAGAAAACTGTGAGTCTAGACAAAGATGGCTTCAGAACCAAAGGAAGTACCAGTGCATTTGAACCCATTAAAGCATTGAAGTGGAAATTTTATTTTACTAGTTCTTCCTCTTACAAGCTGGATAGTATTCCTTAAAACAAAGCCCCTCTCAGTGGCTTACCTCCCTATTCTTAACTAGGATACATAGCAAATCTGCTTAGCGTTTATCTAATGCTAAAAGCATACTTCCTTCCAATCAGGAAAGTGCAATCTTCAGGCACCAGATTTAGAACAGTGACATTTTATTTTGCATCTAATGTATTATATTGTTAGAAGGTCACACTGTTCTCTTAAAAGCATTCTACTTCTTAGAAATCTCCAAAAATAAACTGAGATTAACATACTTCAAAGACCAAGATCTTCAGCAAAAATATCCACAATAGGGACATTACTACCAATTATAAGAAGAATATACTCATACTAGTAGTAGGATAAATATCTGTCTTTGTATAGGGTTTTAAAATGCTTAAGGATTTTATTTTATCATCTTGTTTCCCATGCAAAGAACAACAACAACAAAAGAATACTGGTCTTGATCTTTGCCAATGAGGGTGAGCCTCAATGAATTCTCTGTGAAAACCATCATGAGTTCTGCTGACACAGATGTGTTGTAAGTCAAACTTCCTCTGCTTATGAATTTCCTCATAATGAGCTTCTCCTAGCTGACATGATATCTGTAAGGGCAGAACACTTATAGAACAGTATAATCCTTTTATATAGGTTATTTTACATATCTTCCCACAAATTGTAACAGATTAAAAGTGTTTAATTTTGCCATCTGCAACCAAATCAACCAATTTGATCTAAAGCTTGTCCAAGTTAGGAAAAAGGCTTTAATCAGGCTTCGGCTCACTTTCTAAATATGGCTGAGATGTTTTATAGCTATATAAATATAGCTATATATAGCTCCAGAAACAAAACTTTCACTATAAATCAGCACAGCATATTACCTGCTCAGCTTCATACAGACACATGTGTTTCCTCGACTTGTTAATAAAAGTTACTCTGCTTTATTACAAAAGGTAACTCCACATTTTCTTCTCTGAATCTTTTCAGAAATATGCTAGAAACGTAAGAAAACATCTACCACCTATTTTATTATCTTCCCATCATCATTTAATGGAACAAATATATTATCATACTTAAAATACACTCTGAAACTGTGATTTTAATATACTTTATTGAAAAAGTACGCAGTTTTAAATTGTTTTCAATGGGACTAAGCAATGGTAACCTCTATCTACCAAGTCCTTTTTGATGAATCATGACTGCCATATGCGAAATTCACATCTGCATGACTTGCAAAGTAAAAAGATAAATCTTTTTTCAACATATCTTTAAGGATTTATATCACCCACAGTTTAAAATCATGAAATGCTGATGCTCTTGACTATATTTCATGTCCTCTATGTGGCACCATTTCCCAGATCACAGTTTATCCATATATTAACATGCCAATTGAACACATCTGTCAAATGTCACCTTGAGAAAATCATCAATAGCAGAGGAAGAACAAGAGGAGGCTTAGCACTAAGGCCTGAGACACCACCACATTCTCTTGCATTTTCCTATAGAAAAAAAAAACAACAAAGGAAAATAAATACAAGCCATTATGCCCAATTATGATACATGATTATTTACCAAACTACATAGGCAGAAAAGGATTGGTGCAAACAACAAAACCCATGAACTAAATACACTCAGGAAGTAATACAGGTACACGTTTTCATTTGAACAAGTTTAGATTGCAGACTGAAAGTAAGCTTGATCAACAAGCATTACACAATCCCCTCCATGTCATATTTTAGGTCTCATTCTACATTACATTACACCATCGAAGGCATGAAATAAAGTCAGTCTAGAGTAAAACAGATGTCTATGAACATATGCTGTACGAGTGACTGTAATCGCATGCTGGTCTCTAGCAGATCTCCTTGGCACTATACAAATAAGAGTACTATGCAGGACACAGAGTAGTAAATATGTGTAATGATCCCTCCCAAGCAATACTATGTGTAAACATGTTGACTATAACTTAACAGTTGAGATACTGAAGCTAGTTACTGAAAAAAATATTAACAGCACAAAGTTCCCATCCATCTCTAATGAGGAATCTTGTGGTCAGCGCTTGAGCCAGAATAAGTTCTCAGATACTCCTGGCTGCCCACCTGTGCTCACATCCTAACATCTTCTCTTATATGATACAAAACACTTTACAAAAGCAGCAAGTCAAGACATTGTCTGCAGTACTAAAAAGATTTTCAGTCCTTACAATGTCACTCACTTCTCCTACTACTGTTTTCTAAGTGTTCAGAAAATTTCCTGATGTTTCATCTTAGAAGATAGTTTTCCTATTTTTTTTAAAGAAATAAAACATCTACCAGACTCTAAAAGAAAGGAAAAGTAGGTAGAAACTTACTTCAGGGTGAAATCCATGACAAGACTCTGGGCGCCTTCTTATCTTCTGAGATTTTAAACGTTCACATTTAAGGGATTCATTATGTACAAGGTAGTTAAGGATAAATCTGCTGAGCATTGCATTTTAATGTCCTGAGTTTATGTGTTGAAATTAATATAGTGACAATCTTTCAGCACCTTCCTTCCTTCCTTCCTCTCCAGGAGAAACCCAAAGTGATATGAGTAGTCAGCACAAGAAAAAGAAGGTAATTCTAGTGCATTCTCCTCAGTGATCTATAGTTTAGATAGTATCATTTACATTTGCACTGCTGTCTTTCCATAAAAAATCTACAATAAAAGCACACTGCAGGCTTTTAAATTTCAACTTCTATGAGAAAACAAATCCTGAACTACAGAACAGCACAAAATAAAAAGTGGGGCAACTAAACATCAAGTGATATATTTACTTTGCTACATTTTTATATTTTTGGAAAGCAGGATTCTGAAACGTTTTCAATACTCCAGTCCAACTCTAAAATAAAAAGATATCTATATTATAAAGAGTTTTATAAGTTTTGATATGAGTAGCTCCATTATCATACGGAAATTACATACTTAGGACCTAATCTGAAAGATGTTTAGCTGTCTAAAGATGACCATGACCCTAAAGATGCACCTTAAAGTGTGCTTGTTTAATTTGTATTGGCTGTTTAAAAAAAATAATAAAGTGAATTCTCCTTGAAAATAAGTAAGAATGCATTCTCGGTTGGCTTAACTTCCTACAGCCTCAGCACTTCATAATAGGTAATGATGCGTTCTTAAGTCATGTAATAAAGGGTTTCCATAATAAGAAATTTGTCAATATTTGCATCTTGAATCTCTTTCTGACACTTTGCAAATAAAAGGATATACCTTATTTCTATAGGTGCCATGGTAATTGGGGGGACAGAATCACAGAAGCATTCATTATCTACTACCACCATGAAGAGATTGCTGCTTGGGATTTGCTGAATAACAAAAGACCTGCAAATTAAAAACAAATCAAATAATGGTGAAATTATCTTTATTTCTGAGCAACAGGTTTTGTTAGGTTTTTTTTAGACTTGTCGACAACACCTGTATTATAGTCACAAATATAATCGACTTCATATACTATATGAAGGACCTTGTAGAAGTAGGCGGCTTTGGGCAATGTTTCAATCAGTTCACAGAATACAGTTGACCATTTTGAGATGTATGTGATGCTGAAAGATACGCAGGTGAAGCAGAATGGATAGGCTTATACTGCTGATACGTTAATGCGGGGACTTGGACACAAGTGAATTACCAACATTATAAGATTTTTCTTTTTCAGATTTCAATACTGGATCTCTCCCCTATCATGAGTACCAAGCTATGCAATTTTGGTCTGGAATTTTTAAGTTCCAATCTGCAAAATCAATGAAGGTCCTTCTGCAGCCACATAGTAATACCTCACAGTCCCAAACCTTAGCCTCTGCAATCACATTAGGGCCTTTATTCACTCTGGGTCTTTCTTGAAGCAACATGAACTACTGAGAAAGATCTCAGCTTTCATTTGTCCTCTTGAGAGTCATTTTATTACTGAGCCAACAAAACAGAGATTAAGGCTCAAAATCTTCCAAAGCAAGGAGATTTATTTTAGAATAATGATGACTATATGGTACAAATATGGTGATAACTCAGCACCACATTCAAATTAAGACAAAGTAGGCAACTCAAAAGAAGGGTGAGAAATAAATACATTGCTTGTAAGGAAAGCACCCAGGGGAGACCAGGGAAGGATCTTGCGGGCATTATTCAATGATCCACATACTTACAATGAGCTGAACTTTTAAGCACATAGCAAAGAGAAAAGCGGGAGGAGGCAGAGCCAGATAGGCAATGGTTAGACTTTTCTTTGAAATTCAGGACACCATACAAAGAAAGGCTTTAAGGCACAGGCTCAATTTTGGATAATTTTTTAAAAAGAGTCTGTCAGAATTTATATATTGCATCAACAGAATAGCTGCCATATCGAATACCATTGAAATATGGCAATCCCAGGAATGAAGTGTTTTTCAGTGTGGTATGCTGGTAAGTGTACAGAAAGTTAAGTGAGGGTTTGAGTACCAAGAAGATGTGGAGAGAAACATACTTTTCCTCAGACATCTTTATTTAAAATACATATTGTCTTACTAAAATAACTCCCAGCTTTTTCCAAAGATCACAGAAAATAAAATTGCAGAGGGGGCAGGGAATCTTCAAACCTAGCTTCAGAAAAAGAATTTGGAAAACTTACTATAAAAATGCTGGCAATGGAAAGATTAAACACTTTTCAGTATTTTTTAAACTTACTGAACCTCCATTAAAATTACACTTACAGCGATCTGCAATATGTTAGCTTTATGTTTATACATTAACTATACATTTACGGCATAATGTGAAAGGCTGAACTTTATAAATGTACCTACCAAACAGCTGGAGCGTGTAGCAAGACTGACATCATTGTAATGGAGCATCTGTGGCTTTGTGGATTTGTGTGTGGGAGAAATGGGGCCAATAAAAGGAAAGGAGGGAAAATCTTTAACAGAAAATAACACCAAAATTGTACTGTATGAATTTCTCAAAACAGTTATGAATAAATCAAACCCTACAGCACAGGAAAAATATTAATTTTATTCCCAGAAATTGGCACAATTTGGATTTTGTGCAGTCTGAAACCTGTATTTATTGTATCATTAAAACTAGCTCAGAAAAGTACCTGAAGGGCGTAAAGTGTTGTAACAATTACCTGGATACTAAATGACTAATTTCTGGTTTTGATGAGGAGTATTCACTCTTCTGTTGTACCTATGGTGTGCCAGACAGCAAGCCCTTTTGTGATAGCCCCTTCTCATGGCCCCCAGATGAGTACTGAAGCCTGTGAGAAGCTGCGTACCATACAGCTTAAAGGCACCCTTTCATGAAAGGTGGGCAGACTTCCTATTTTGTTTCTTCTTTCATCCACTTCACTGGGGTGGCATAAGGGCTGTACAATATAGGCTATTACTTGCCCAAAGAAGAGAAGGGGGAAAAAGAAGTTAAAAAGATTTGGAAGGTCTTCCTACCACCTCACCTAGCTGGAATAAAAAAAGAAAGCACGGTAACCCAGAAGAAACTTTCCACTACAGAACTATGACAGTGAGAAAATTACTATATGGCTCGTCTGACAAAATAGCCCAAAACTTCTATACAAAGGCTTATAGGAATTAAGTGATACAGAAAATTTTGCTAGACCTTGTAATTTAGGCAATGCAGTAATGCAGTATATGCATGGATTGATGGAAATTATGAATTAAAGGGACTGCAAAGAGCAATATATTAGGTTAAGTAAAAAAAACACTTTTCTACTTTAGGAATTATATGATAGGTATTGACTAATTACACTGGTTTAGTTTACAAAACAGTGACTATTCTTACAAATGTACAGTCTGTTTATGTATTGGAGATGTTTGTGAAGTGACCTTCACTTTATGGTGACTACCACAGAACGTGTGACTGCCACCAAAAGAGCCATAAAAAGATGAAACTTCTGGCTCAGTGCACAATTTCTTCCATAGTGTGCAATATCTTAACTAATATCTTGCCAAATGGAACAACTAGCTTCTCATCCACTCTACGAGAGGTAAATTAAAAGGAAAATGGTATCTCCCACAAGCAATAAAGGAATATTTTCTGTTTCACAATTTTCAAACATCATCTTGAAATGAAGTTGTAATTCCATGTATGTGGAAACACAGGCAAAGGATTAACACATCAACAAGTGAAGACAGAGAATTGAAGACAGAGATTGAGTTGAGCAGATAATTAAGGGCAAAAAGAAAATGTCCAATTTAGCTTCCTTTTCTATTAATAGAATGCGCACAAGCAAATTATACTACTTTCAGCTGCTGTGATTTAAAATCATTTTGCATTCATGAGGTATTCTTACCCTCACTAGATCAATGGCAAAGAAGTTTCTGCCAGTCATAACCACAGCAGTTGCTCTGTGACTATTCAGATAATTCACACGGCACTGCTTCCATGCCCAAACTGGATAAAGCACACAATCAGCCCAGCAGCAGCTCTTCTGTTTGAATTCAGCTTTCAGTTTCCATGGTGACATGCACATGCATCTTTGAAATTCATTTTGAGTGAATGTTCATGCCAGTAAGTCTCAGGAACTGAACAGTCACATTAAACAAAAGATGCATAAACACAGTCAGGACAAAGTCTTTCAAGTACTGAAATATTCCACCAAAATGTTTCACTGTGTACACCAAGATTCAGCTGCAAGGGAGAAAAATCTCTAGCAAAACAGGTCCCAGGACTGCAGTGGGAAATAAAGAAAGTTGCTGACAAAGTAATGAAAATGGTCTTGTCTTTAAATAAGAACCTTATTAAAAATTTCTCCTCCATCTTTCATCCACTGAGGAACTAGTTTGGTTTATTTGACATGCAGGTTCAGAGGCTTAAACCAGACCTGAAAACAAACTGCTTCTTTAATTTGCGGTGAAGGTGAGGAAGGAAGAAATTTAATACTTGAAAGGGGTAGAGCGAGAAAGAGGAAGAAAACTGAGTCATGCCAAACTATTTTGTTAATGAAGAAAAAAATAAGATCAGAGAGTAAATCTGCAAGAAAGTCTGTATTTTGGGTCAGAGCATTACACAACTATTTTTTGTGTGTTGCACACACTTTATCTGTTTCTTTCTAACATATTTCTCTATTGGCCCATATAAAAATATCTGCGTAAATATCACACAAATTGATATGGGAAAAAAAAACAGCAAGTATTTATTAATATGTTCCCAGAAAACTATTTTTCCTTTGTTGAATGAAACAGGAAAAGTCTTGCATTTCAAGTACTGCTGCATTCATAATTATATTTGTAAAGTTGTGCTGATGAATGCATAAGAAAGGACTTTCAATGTGTCTGGTGGCTAAATGACTCTTCCCACAGAGACCTAGTTTTTTTAAATTTCTTAAGATATCCTAGAATTGGGAAAGCATCATAATAGGACTGTAATATGAATTTTGGAGGGCAGTCACACCAGCTGCCTTTGTGCATGTAACTTGGGTTCCTGCATTAGAAGGGTAATCATCTCCAACTCTGAACAGGGTCCATACAGAGACACAGGCTATTCAAGGATAATTCAGAGCACGAGCTCGGCTTCGGCGATCTGAATCATCCTCTGCAGGAGGGTCTGTTTCTCTCTTTAATGGCCACATTGTGATCCTGCAGAGAAATGCATCCTGAACAAGGCAAAACGGGATGCCTAAAGCTAAGTGCAGATTACAACATCTGTTCTAAAAAAGCCAGCAAGCTACCTTCAAACCTGTGTTGTTTTTTCTTCCAATTTGAACCTCTTCCTTTTGCTTGTCTGTGTATAAGTTTTCATGCATTATAATATATGCCTTACATTCTTATCATAATGATTTCTTCCAAAGACTATATTTAAAAATAAACAAACCCAAACCCAAACAGACCACAACCTAATTTCAAAAATTCCTGCTCTTCTTCTTCTTGTATGAACCACTTTCTCCTGTAAGGAGGAATAATTAGAAGATACACTCAGGGCAGTAGAGGAGCAGGGACTGAGCTGACACTACCCTTGCTGCGCTGCCCTCTTTCACACCCTGTGCTTCTTTCTCTTCCTTTCGTCTTCCGGCCTCTGAAGCCCTGGGGTGGCAAAGTATCAGTAAGGCAACTGGGAGAGGGCCAAACCTCCCTGGAAAGTAGGGGGATGATCCAAGATGGGGGGAAAGGGCAGTGATGATAAGACAAGCAGTTTTGGAGCCCTGTGGGAAAGGGACGGGGGAAGAAGGTTATCAGCTGCTGCAGCAGGTGGCTTTGTTGTGGGGCCTCTGCACTCTGTCCCCTTAGGAATTTTGGAGCATCTTCCACATTGATGAAACCAGGCAGAGCAGTAGCAAGGCTAGCAAAGCTGAGCTAGACCTCTTTTACTTCCTTCCTGCTGCAGTCATTAGGCTGCTGTATCTCTTG